TTTAAAAAAGTTTCTGGTTCTCTTTGCTGATTTTAAAATACAGAGGTTGTTATCTTAACCATTGATCTGTATGTTAATCCCAGGGAATTCACCTACACTGTCAGGAATTCTCAGTATTCAAAACAAGGAAGGGAGTTCTGTGTATGAAGCACAAAGCCTTGAAGCTTTGTACTATATAATCTAAGTTGTGCAATGGGAAATAATTGCAATTGATAATTGAAATTCAGTGGCAGGTAAAGTAGCACCTGACGAGAAGGAGTTGTTTTTAGGTTTTTTTAAGTGACCATTAATAAGGGGTACTTAGTTATCAAGCTCTATGTGGGCTTTAAATACAGTTAAAAGAGCATATTCTGCTAATTTTTTTCTTCTGTATTTCATTTTCTGGAAGATTTGTGACAGCAATTAGTAAATTACCTAAACTCCTTCCTCTCATGCACATTGGTCTTACAAATCAAGCCAAGCTCTTTGCCTCTGAATTCAGAATAGAGTTTATGCTGTTATTTCCCTTCTCTCATTCTTTCTTCCTGGACTTAGATTAGTTTTTCTGGTAACTCAGGGATCTCAGGTCAGGTTAAAGGTCAAACCTCTTCTTGAATCCTCACTGCAAAAGGTGGAGCAGAACTGCTTGGCAGTAAGATAACCTCTTCTAGCAGGAACAGAGCTGTAGTTTTTACTAGAAGCCAACCATAGAAGTAATAATTCTTGTAAATCACTGCCTCAGGCCTTGTTCCTCTGTAGTACTCTGCTAAAAAGGAGTACTAATGTCAAGGTGCTTACCAGATCTAAGGTAGAAGGAGCCTGGAGAAGGGAACAGAGGCAACATCAGTGCAGAGGTAGATCTATCAGTGACAGAGCTGAAAATTGAAGTCCTGCCAGATGATACCTAATGTTTCTGTTGGTTTAAAGCTCTTTCAAAGTTGAACTCATGAGAGTCTGCTCTCCTTAAACCTTGTTTCAGAAGACAGTGTTATACAAACACCTGTCTTTGATGCATCCCTTGCTTGTTTTCTCACTGACCTATGAGCAGGAGTGAGTTTGCAGAAGTTCTCTGCCTGCTGCAGTTACATTGTAATGGTTATGTTCTTAACTGAGTAGCTCTGCGTTTCTCCTACTCGATTTTAGTGCATGACCAAAAGTCTGTCAGTAAATTACACCTATTAGAGAAAGCAAATTATCACCTTAGACAGTGCTAACAATTACTACATTTTGGGAAGTGTAGTGGTTTGTGCTCTTTGCCTAACAGGAAATTTATCTTAATGTAGTTTGGGTTTTTTTTCCCTGATAAAGTTCAACTGAATGATTTAAAATGTCATTGGATGGATAAGGGGGAATAGGTCTGTCAGAGAATCCTTCCAAATCTGTTCCTCGTCTAAAATGTACCTGTCCTCTCAGTGATTTCTGAATGGCTGGGATAATATTTTAGTGCTGAGACTTAAAGGTTAGGATGTAAGATTTATACTGACAGTGAAAGCATGTATTCCATGGTAGTGCATCTCTTGGAATACAGCTTGATGTGTTTGATGGTTTAAGGCTGAGCAGGCAAGATTATATTAACTGGCATCTTAGTATAGGTTACAAATCCAGATTCTCTTTAAATTCCCTGTATCATTCTGTGTGTTCTCTCCATGGCTGATTCTATCTGATCTAGCAGGAAACATGATTCCAGTTGCACACACGTAGATTTGAGTCTGTGGGATCACTGGAACAGAAAAAAATCAGGCTTGTACGCTGTGTGATATTTGGCAGTGTCCTACTGTCTTCTCCTCATCTGCCCCCTCAGACCAATTAACAACTTTGCCAGCAGAGTAACAGCCTTTATGCGTCTTGCAGCAATTTCCAGGACTTTCTGAACTGCATCACTCCACTGTGCTGTTCTACTAAATCACCTGCTCATGGAATCATATTCCATCTTTTTTTTTCTTCTTTTTTTTTTGCGAATGTAAAAAAAACCCCAGTTGACAGATGAAACTAGGGTAAACTGGTCTCAAAGAAAAGACTCTTTTGAGATTGTAGCGAACTGAAGTTAAGCTTTGAGGAGACAGTGTCATGCAGCTTGGCAGCTGTACAGAGTGCTGCTTTTGATCACATCCCAAAAGGAATGCTGAAAGCTCCTCGTAGCTGCATGATAATGTGCATTAAACTTTGGCTTGAGTCAGGCCGTTTTGAAGGTTAGTGGACTTGCTAATAGTCGATCTAAATAATAGAACAGAAGCTTCAGTTTTTATGGGGATTTGGTCTGTGATCAGGATTGAGACCTTCAAAGATATTTGTCTGTGGTTTGGTGCAGCTATGACAAATTTAGGTAACACAATAAATGTGGAGGTTTTGTGAAGATATTTATTCTTTCTATTTAACACTAGCGAAAACTGAAGTGCGTAAGTTACGTCTAAGATATGTGGAGAAGTTGATCCCTAACTGCACAGATAAATAGTGTGGCAGTGTTAGCAGTCAGGTACTTGCATGACAGCATGACTCTACCTACTGTATCTTCTGGAAAATGGGAAGATTTCTGGGATAATGAACAACCAGTGTGATATATTGAATATATTTCTTTTTATACGTTGGCAACAAAGGCATTTGATGTTCTTATGTATTTCTTATGTACGTGTATAAATGTACCTGTTCAGTCACAACGCTTATATGCTTTGTGTTAATATAAATCCAAAGTGTTGGATTCTTCTTTTAATAGTGTCAGTGCCTGGTAAAGAGGTAATAGATAATGTCTAATTGTTTTTATATGAGGGTTTTAACTGTACCATGGATTAGTAACAATAGCTTATGGCTCTTCAGGAGAAAATGAGTTCTTCATGGTAGTCCACAGTGTAATAGGTTTTCATCATCATAAAAATCCATCACTTCACTTCATATTTCCTTTTGTGTGTGTGTAGATACTGCTAACCCATAAAAACAAAGTAATTATATCTAATGGCAATTTTGTCCTTTTTTGCCCTTCTTCCTGTGATAAAAATCTTTTGGGTAGACTAGAGCAATGTTCAATGACCTGATTTAACTCTTTTACAAACTTACTCTGGGAACACAGCACTCTAGATAAAAACTTGCAGTAAATTAAACTGTGAATGTTGTCTTCAGTGGTGCTTGTCAGATTAGCACCTTGCATGAGTTTATAGTTACTGAACTTCCAGAAACATGGAATTAAACAACAAAACAGATCTCTATCCACTCTGCCCCTCTCATGCCAAAGTCTCCAGTGCAGGGAATGCACAGGTATAATAAATGGGACAGTTTGTACCTGCAGTAGTGAGTGAAAGCTTGTTCAGACAAGTTTCCTCCCCCGTCATGAGCAGAACTTGCATGACTTTATATAACTCTGAAACAAGTTCTGGAAAAATATTCAACTTTTTGAGGAATTATGAATATTCACTTGTGTTCTGCCATGCTCTTGACAGCTGCAAAGCATCTATGGGCAGGTTATAAAAATGTGAGAACCCTGATTTTTGCAGTTCCATCCATGTGGAATATCTCATTCATACCAGACCCTTTCCAAAGTCTCAGGAATCCTGTCTGGGGCTGTAGGAATCTGCTCCTGTGGGGCATGGTGAAGGGTTAGAACAGCAAGAGGAACCAAGATGAGATTTTGCAATAAGCAGTCCCTGTGTCAGAAGACTTGTGTGAAGCTGTTACTACAGTCATGTTTAATTCTTCCTCAAATCATGTGTTGTTATTGGCTGTTTCTGTAGTGTGACCAGTTCTTCACTTGTTTTCTCACTTCTGTGTATATTCATAGTGGCTGTTCACACACTCAGATGAGACATGCACAGTACTTGTAGTCATCCAAGTTCTTCTCTGTGCTGCCTGTAATCAATAACAAATTTCACTCATGTAATTACGGCTAAACTAGTATATACCTGCCCTGGGCAGAAAAAAATCTGTTCTTTTATTGAAACAGCCTGAAGATTTCTAGCCAGTGCAGAGCATAATGAGGAATGTAGCTTGAAGAAATATCTTGGTGGGTTTTTTTGCCTGTTCATACTCTCAGGAAGTGATATTGATTGCTGTAGTAGCTTCCACTGTTTCTTATCATTTTGGTTCTTTCACTTCTTACTAAAATATCAGTAAATTCCACAGACATGCAAATGTCTGGTGTCTGAGGCTTGTTAGGAGGAAGAAACCTCCTCTAGTGCATTAAATACTCCAAGCAAATCTAAAAATTAAAACTGCTCATCTCTTTCTTTTTATCTTTATTCCTAACTTGGACTCGAGGTCTTTAAACTTAATTATGTCATATAAAATATTTTAAAAGAATCTTATGAACAGAAAATCTATCAGGCTGGAACAAGGACTTGTTATGAACTGCAGGGTGACCTTTGTTCCATTCCACATAATTTCTGGGTCTGGGCAATGATGTTCTCTCTGGGTGGAGAACTTCCAAAGATTCAGTTACTGGAACAATAATTTTCCGTTGAGTTAACATAGCCTGTGACACACCCTGAGTGGAAACATGACTTCAGCCTTGTGCTTATATAAAACCAAGGATGGAGTATTCAGAATCCAAATGGGTGGAAAGTAGGCAGTGATCTCCAGCAGAATCACAGCTTGGTGCATGTGCAAAAATGGGGAGTATTTATAGGTTAATAGTCATAATGCATCTGTATGGCTTTGGGAGTTGCAGCATGTAATGCTTTTCAGGCTTTTTCTGTATGGGAGTTGGCAGAAACCTTATGCTGCTGCTCATGAGTGGTGGCAAGATTTCTGTAAATACATAGCAAACAAAATCACTTCTTTCAGGAAAATTGATTGCATAAGGGCTTGGAAGATAAAAGCTTTTGGTAGCGCCTTAGTCTTTAAAATACTTAATAGATATCAATTAGGGTTCAAAGTTACACAAAAAGGTCATTCCATATTTACTTGACTCATGTCATACGAAATTCCTAGTTTCTAGGCACTGACAAACTAATGTTGTTATGTGCCTTTTCATTTCTAGAGCCTGTCAGTCATGAGCATTCCTAATTGTGTGTTTGTTTTTTCTTTCCTCAAACACCCTAAGGACAATACATTTTTCAAGTTCTTCAAGTCTTCCTGCACAACGAGGGAAAAGAAGAAACATTTCAGTGAATGAGGAGTTTTTTGCTTCTATAGTGTTTTCCTGGAGAAGTGGGTCTTTGAATGAGGATGACAATGGAAGAGATGAAGAATGAAGCAGAGACCACTTCTATGGTTTCCATGCCTCTCTATGCTGTTATGTACCCTGTCTTTAATGAGGTGAGCTACAGTTTGGAATACAATAACCCCCTTCATTTTGGGAAATATGGGCACAGTAACAGGTTGGTTGTTTTGGCTGTGAAAGCTTTGTGTCTAGCACCATCTCCTTGCTATGCATTGTTTCACCTTTCTTTCCCTGAATGCTACTTCATGCTCATCAAAGGTTGCTGGTTATCTTGGCCCTGATCTTTTTTTATTACCTTTTACAAAGGATTTTCATGAAAATGCCAAGTCTGGTGTTCCATGGCAGGGAGTAACACACAAACATGTACCTGTGAACAGCTTGCTGCATTTTAATTTTACTACTAATGGTGATAATTTAATAGATACTTATTTATCTGTGAGTATCAGAGATTGTCAAGATGTTCTCAAAAGCTCCTGTCAGATTTCTGCTGCAAAATACATCCAGTGACATGTTGGTTCTTCTGTTTTCATTCTCTGGGGAAGTCTTTCCTTTGGGGTTAAACTTCATAGTATCTCTCAAGTGAGACCAGTAATTTGAGAGCTTCTATCAATTCTCTTTTGCATTATGCTGTATAAGGCAGGGCATCAGTGCTTGACTTGTTTTGTTGTGATAACATCAGAAGTGCTAATAATTCTAAACTTTTATTGCAGCTAGAAAGAGTAAATCTGTCTGCAGCTCAGACACTGAGAGCAGCTTTTATTAAGGTGAGAACTAACTTGTGTTGAAGAATGATTGTTTAAAAGGTAAACCATATATGATGAAGCTAAAAACTCAGTTTGCTTGTTTCCTTGTCTTTGCATCTGAAGACTTCATCCTTGATCCAAGAGTTTAAAAAAATAGTGGACAGTTGCATGGAGTGTAAGTTTGAGATGTCTGCAGAGGTTATGATTAGAAATCTGAGTGATACACATTGAGGAATTTGAAACAGACTTTGCTTGTCCATATAGTGCGGAAGCTTAAATGAGAAAGCAGTCAGGGAAGGTAAATTTAGTCTAAATGTGACAGGATTATGTAGAATAGGTGCTCCCGAGCAACAGGCACATAGCCAGCTTTGAGAGTGCTTTACAAAGGGAGTGGTAATGGGATTTTCTGTGGATAAATTCAGTGGTTGTGTCTGCATCCAGCAGTAAATGAAAAAAGGGATTCTTCTGAGTTTTCTCGTATATTCCCAAAGACTGAAAATACAGATGTTCCTTTATACAGCCTCAATGGAGTGGTGATCTTTTAAAATTCTTAAAAATAATTGCAGGTGTGCCATACTTTAACCTGTGAGCTGTGCAGCCACATAACACTTCCCTGTTTCTACCCTTACATCTAAGTGTACCTTGACAGTCTGAAGTCTCAGCTAGAGCTTGTACAAGCTAAATGTTTTACAGCTGGTGGTAAGGTGCTAAGCTGGATGCAAATAATGTAAAACCTGAGATATTGGTAGAAAGTATAGTAGTTGGTAGGTGGTAGTGCTGGCTAAAAAACCCCTACACCTTCATTCTTATTCCCCACAGAGTAGTTTTTTGGGAGTAGCACAGGTAGTGTCAACACCTCCAGTGTCAGTCTGGCTCTAGCTTAGCTTTACTTAGATATGTCATCAATCAAAAACTGCTTTTTTTTTTTTTTTTTCTGAAAAAGCAATTCCAAGATGATGTCTGAGCATAGGATGTGATTCATAAGAGGCACATTCATAAAATGTCATGTGGAAGGTGGGGGAGTAGCACCTGTGTTTGAGTGAATTAAACTCCAATGGATGCAATATCTTTGTCTCAAAGCTTAGTGTTTATGAAAATATAACAGGATATGGAAATTCATGAAAACCTTTCTTATTCAAATTGAAATGAGTGGAAAGGCTTATTGGAAAAGTTATTTATGCAAACTCAGTGGCATAGTCCAAGGGAAATGAATGTTGTGGTGGAAGAATGGATTTCAGTGTCATCTGCTGACCTGAAACCATTAGACTTTTAAAGTTTCTAGCAGTCTTGTGCAGTGCATAAAGGAATTCATATGAAAATCTGCCTTTGTGCTTGCAGTATTCAGGTCTGGCATATTTAAAAACAAGAATTTTCTTTGCCATACAGGCTGAAAAGGAAAATCCAGGGCTTACACAGGACATTATCATGAAGATTCTGGAGAAAAAAAGTGTGGATGTGAACTTTACAGAGTCCCTTCTGCGTATGGCAGCTGATGATGTAGAAGGTGATAAATCTTATGATCAATAACTATTTTTAATTAGACTGTAACTAGGAACATGCATTTCTCTTTCCTTTATTTCAGAAGAGATTATTTGTTTCTTAATAGTTTGGGTTTTTTCTTTCCCAGCGCAATAGAATAATATTTGTATTTTTAATACCTCTTTTGGAGAAGTTAAATCTCCCTGAAAACCATATTTGACTAATAAAGAAAATGAATGTTTAGAACTGTGTTTATATAGGTACATAGTTCACCTTTTGCAGTGCTAACAACTAGAAAAAAAGCATATATGGACTATAACATCCTCTTGTTTCCCTCCTTCAAATTAAAAGCAGTAGTTATGCTGTCAGAGAAGGAGAACATATTACAGGCTTTAAGTTATTTTAATGCTGAACTTCATTAGTGCAGTGTCTCAGATAAAGTAAGATGGGCTCTTTTTCCAACTCGCAGTAATAAAGATGATTGTTGCACTGTGTTTTGATTCACACACAGAATGTGTTCACTGCAGTTTTCTGGTCAGGGCTATTTTTTTGTGCTGTTCACCTTCAAATCCACCATGGCAGTACTGCTGCATTGAGTAGTGGTTTTAGCTGTCACTAGAGACTTGAAGACAAACTAAACGGTGTTTTTGAATATGTTCTTCTTATTAGAATATATGATTGAGAGACCAGAACCTGAATTCCAAGATCTTAATGAAAAGGCACGAGCACTTAAACAGATTCTTAGTAAGATCCCTGATGAGATCAATGACAGAGTGAGGTTTCTTCAGACAATCAAGTAAGTACTGTGTTATGTATTTTTCTGCAGATTTAGAGGTCAGACCTTTTATTTAGCCCTGAGTGTTCAAATGCTGCAGGAGATGCCCCAACCCTGGCAGTGTTCAAAGCCAGGTTGGATAAAGCCTTGAGCAACCTGGTCTAGTGGGAGGGGTCCCTGCCCAGGGCAGAGGATTGGGACTGGATGATCTCTAAGGTCCATTCCAACCCCTCAGCATACTATGAGGTGCTAGCAGCACTGTTTCCATTGGAAAAGAGCCTGATCCTCACCTATAAATGATTAGGATATTACTTGACCAAACTTGCTGATCTAGTCGGAATTCCCTTGACACTGGTCTGGCTCTTTGCATTTGGTCTTCCTACATTGTGTCTGACACTTTTTCTGTGGAGACTGTTTTAAGAAGTATTTGACTATTACAAAGGATTAAATTCCCACATTTACATGGGATAGAATGATAGAATCATCAAGATTGGAGGAGACCTCTAAGATCGAGTCCAGCTGTTAACCTGCCACTGCTATAACTCCTTAACACTAAGCCATATCTTCCACAGACAGATCCAGATGCCTCTTAAACACCTCCAGGGATGGTGACTCCACCATCTCCCTGGGCAATATCCCAGTGCCTGAACACCCTCACAGGGGGAAAAAAAATTCCTAACATCTAACCTGACTCTTCCCTATCTCAGCTCAAGGCCATTCCCTCTAGTCCTCTCCCTGCAGCCATGGCAGGAGAGACATCCCTCATCTCTCTCCAACCCCTGTGAGGTAGTTGTAGAGAGCCATGAGGTCACCTCTGATAACTTAAGGATGTTACAGTTATCTTTTCCTTGCCCAACAGGGACATTGCGAGTGCAATAAAGGAACTTCTTGACACAGTAAATAATGTCTTCAAGAAATACCAATACCAGAACCGGAGGGTAAGTGCAGGAACTCTTCTCATACAGTGTTTCTAGTTGTATAAGAGGAGACATTTCCTTTGAATCAAAGGATGAGTGGGAGAGCTTAACCAATCAGTGACATACTTTCACAACAAGATTGTTCTGTGATAGGTCTGGGGAGTTTTCTAGGAAGAGAACAACTTCTCTTCATCTCTCCTAAAAACAAATCAAAATTCTAGACTAAATATAATGCTAAGCCATTTTGTGATCAGTTTAACCTGAAGATTCTCAGCGTACCCAACCATATGTGAACTAAGACTCTCCTCCTGGCCTTTTTTCTTTTTTTAGGCACTTGAGCACCAAAAGAAAGAGTTTGTAAAATACTCCAAAAGTTTCAGTGATACTCTGAAAACCTATTTTAAAGATGGAAAGTAAGTATGGTTTTGTACTACCAATTTACACTGTGAAAGGCCTTGTAAGACAAGCTTTAGGGTGTAAGCTGCCTTTTTGAGCACTTGCCTCATTTGCCTTACCTGTGTCCTCAGAATGTTGTGGCTGCTTTAAAACACTTTCTTTTGTAAAGCCTTTGAGGGAGGGAAGGGGAACTTGTTAAATTCACCACAATGAAACACCATTGTGCAGCGCTGGTTTGGAACCTGAATATGTAAAGTTAAATTTCATGGCCCTGTGTGGTTTTTTCTCAGTGTATATATACAAGGACAAAGAAATTATGAATTCTTCATTGAGAAAAGTAATCTACCTATTTGAAATATCATTTGCAAACACTAAACATCTGTGCAGTGTTCTCTTTGATTTGCATTTTTATTGGCCTTTCTTTATAGACCCTTCTAGTGCTTTGCAGTATTGAAATTACTCACTTGAATCTTTTTTCTATTTGAACATTTTAGCCTTCAAACTGAGGCTTTTTCCAGGTCGTCACCTTGGGTTTTGAAGTCACTATTCCTGTATACTTCACTGTAGTGATTGTTTTGGAAGATGTGTGTTCCCCTCAGATTCTGACAGTGCCAAAGTGTTCTGTGCGCTACAGTGTGAGAGATGAGAACTAACTTTCATGTCTGCTCTTGTTGAGCTTGGCAAAGACAAAGAGCACGCAGGAGATGGTATATTACTGAAGGAGAGGGAAGTCTTAAGACCAGCTGTGAACACCATTTTGCTCCTGTCAAAGCATTCTGGTTTTCCCCTCTTACTGAAATGAGGCTAAATTTGGTTATGATGCCAAAATGAGAAGTGTAGACATTGGTAGCTTTATGATTACTGGACAAAAGTACTTGTGGGAATAAGCTTAAAGTGTGTTAGGTATTTGCAATACTGTAAGAAATTTCAGGTAAGGCTTGTATTTCCTATCCTTGTGAAATCAGGAGTAATTTATATCTGTCTGAACTGCATGTTGAGTAAGAGTCCCTGCTCTCACTAGGAGGTAACAGCCCTAACAGAACAGTCATGCCCAGACACCATTACTGAGCTCAAAACCTCTGTGACCCCACAGCTTTGTTAACAAAAAGATATCTAAAAAGTATGTCGCTTCCATGCTTGGTGTTTTTTGAGGAAAAAGTTGCCAATTCTGAAATGACTGAGGGGTGAAGTGCTCAGCTTTGCAAAGAACATATGTTTAACAATCGTAGTCAGAGAATGGTTTGGGTTGGAAGGGACCTGAAAGATCTAGTCCCAGCCCCCAGTCATCTGCTCCACTTTTTGTCTTAGTTAGCTAAAACCCCAGAATTAAATGATTGAGATGTCAGTAATGATTGAGAGCCAAATTCATTAAGTTCCTGCCAAATAATCAGAGCCTTTCTAGGATTAACTATGCAAATGAGGCTGTGCCTGCCAGCACTGAGCTTCAGGTGGATCACCATAGGGTAGAACATCAATCTGCTTCCAGTTTTCAAAGCCTGGATGCCAATATATTGGGTTGCTCAAACTTCATGCTGTATTTATTGAGTGCTGTATTTATTGAATGCTGCAATTACTGAGTGCCATGTTTCTAAACCCACCTGAAGCAATACCTTTCTCTTTCCACAGGGCAATAAACGTGTTCATAAGTGCCAACCGACTAATTCATCAAACCAACTTGATACTGCAGACCTTCAAAACTGTGGCCTGAAAGCTGTATATGTTGAGAGTTGTACTTTTCAATGGTGGATAGGGTACCTTTATATGTAAATTTTAAAAGTTTTGACTGTATAAATTATCAGCCCCTCCCCAGGGGCCTAATGCAGGATTTTGAATGGGATTATTGCCATCTTACACCATATTTTTGTAAAACATTGTAGCTTAATCATAATCTCACCAGGAAGATTTTGCATCACTTTTTTGCTATTATCATTCTTTTCAGAATTATAAGCCAAAAGAATTTACGCCTTAATGTGTCATTATGTAACATTCCTTATAAGAATTGTAAATATTTGGTGTTCTGTTTCTGACATTTTAACTTGAAAGCTGAAAACTGCAAGATTATGTATTTAACAATATTGGTGGCAAATATTCAATAAATAGTTTACATCTGTTAGACTGTCTTTTTGTATGTGAACAAAAGTGCAGAGCTCATCTTTCTAGAACTGCAGAACATTCATTAAACAGAACAAAAAATTCAAATTATTTGGGTGCTTAAAGCTACTGGGAGTTCAAATCAGTACAAAAATGATGGGTTTTCATTAAAATTGAGATTTTTGGCTGTGATCTAGACTACAATACCAGAATAAATTATATTCAAATGTCTTTGACAAAGTAATAAAGAAACCTAGAAGTGAGATGTACTTTTGGTTTTGTTAGAAACTAAATCTCACTTCTTTCTTAATCTGGTGGTGGTAAGTTAACAGGGTCTTTTTTTCCTAGACTATTCCAAGATTTGGAGCAGAGGATTATTTTCAATATATGCAGCTTATTATGCAGGAAAAGTTGAATTAAAAATATGAAGCTAATTGGGTTTTAATTGGTGCCCTTTGGGAGGGAGGAGGAGAGAAGACAGAACTCTTCCAGGTAGCACTAGTGATATCTATACTATGCATGCCATAAGGCAACTTTTCTTTTTCAGGGATTGAAATCCTGTGAGACCTCGATTGACAAACCTTGTCTAGATGGTTAAGAGCTGCTGACGGACAGATTCCAATTTTATCCTTGTGATTTCATGGAATATTTCACAAATTCTAATGCATCTCTCCCGTGCCCCTTTGAAGCGCACCTTGAGTTTATTTGGAAATAGAATAAACCAGTTTTCGAAGTCTGTGGCCATAACTAGTAGGTTTAGGGAAGAATGTGAAGCAGCTTAGAAAGCTGCACAAGCTGTTGCAGGAGGATCACTCCAGGCTGAAAGAGCACAATTGCTACAGATCTATTCCTTGTCTAGCTCTAAATGGTGAAGAAAAGGTATATCCAGACTTTTCTTGCACACTGGCCTGGTGCTGTATTGCTCATTTGGGGCAAGTGCCTTATCCAGAGTACAACAGTTGGGTCCCTGAATTTGGTGATCTGCTTAAGTGATCAGAATGGGGGGGGAAATGCAATCTGCAGCCCTTCCAAATAGCACTGGATGTTCTGCTGTCTATCTGGGCATGGAATTGTTTCCTTGATGAGAGCACTGACTGTAGTGAAATAGAACAATGTGAAGGAGAGTATTGTGTAAAAATGAGTTCTTGGGAATGTATGTTGTGAATTTCTTGGTTACATGAAGCTATAAACAGGACATGGTCCTTCAAGCTTGCTGTTCAGCCTGTTTTCTGTTCTGACAGTGGTGTTTTGTGTCATTAGCATATTGAGCTTAGTAACATGACAAAGGGATGCAGATACAACTGATAGTCAAACCTTTCTGTTATTTATCTTTTTTAACTGTCATTTCTTGGGAAGTGGTAGAAGAGCAGCAGTGTTAGCAGCTACTGAGGAGTCAGTGACTAAATTAGAGTCATTTAATTTGTGTCTTTGAATTTTGTAAGTAAAAAGGTTGAGTAGTCTTCCTTGTGGATGATGTTAACTTAAGTCATAGCTCCAAAGGGCTTAATGAAGACTAATTAGTCAGGTAGAAGGAAGGGAAAGGCCCCTGGAGCTTCTGATTCTTCATCTGTCTTGAAAAGAGGGTTTGGTACTGGGGAGGCTGCAGCAGTGGCTGTGAGGAGGGAGAGACACAAAAGCTTGGGTTACATTTTGTGAATTGGACTTAATTTCCATAATATGCTGAGATTTCACTATTTTCTTGGATTGAGAGGGACAGTAGCTAGTGTTGGCAATCATTAGTTAAGTGATACCATGTTTATGTCTCTGGGTGTTATAAGCAAGTATATCAAAACCCATTTATGACCTGGGTCCCAAACAAGATGCTCTGTGATGTCCTGCTAATTGATTCCCTGTAAATCAGAGGTTATTTCATCAAGAAATGAACTGTTCCTGTTTATCAGTTCTTTCCAAATCATTTATTGGGTAAAAGGTACCAAATGCAGGGCTAAGCTTCAGGTAGTCTGGCCAATATGTTTTGTTTTCTTTATAACCTCATTGTGATTTCTTTATGTTACCCTTAAAAGTAATGGAAAATTATTCATTGTAATCAATGTCTGGTAATGGGAAAACTTGAAACCTGGTGTCTTCAGGTCACACTCTTCTGTTGTGTGCAGTGAATCCATATCTAGTGGTCTTACAAACTCTTTATTTTCCACTGAGTATGAGCTGGGACATATGTCTGTCAAATTTTATTGTGGTTTTGCACTTTATTATTCAAGTTACCTGAGTAGCTAAAGATAAGTTTCTCTTAAGGATTTCTGATACAGCAGTTAGTGTTGCAAAATGATATTAGAAAATTTCTGCTGTGAATGTGGGTTATAACTGCTATGATAATGTTAACATACAGAAAAGCAATCTAATAAACAAAATAAAACTTTGTATATTTGTTAATGAAGCAAAGAAATGTCTTAATCACTTGTTTTGATTTTCCTCAGCCTATAAAGAAGTGAAGAAAAGCTTAGCTTGACTTATTTCTGGTTAGAAACTTTTAATACTGATGCAAAGATTTGTGTTCAAGCCTACATGGTGTGCCAGGTGCTCAGCTCAGTACAAGGTTTATCTTGAGTTGACATAAAGTGGTGAGTATGAAATTTCACAGTGTTCTGGTATCAAAACTCTCATGTATCCAGACAGTAGGATGTGATACTATCAGTCTTGATTAAGCTTTATCTTTTCACATGATCTTATCTAGATTACCACTGGAGTGTTCCTTCTTAATGCTCTTTTCAGATCTTGCAGTGTGTCAAAGGAAGACTTGCCTTGTTTGTTCTGCAGGTGTTATCTGATCTCTTGATTTTACAGACACTCTGAGTTGGGTGGGGAATGAAAAGGTTATCAAGACAAACTTGCCACAAATCTAAGCTTTAGATTATTTGAGTCTGAAGGGAAAATCAAATAGTATTGCACATGTTGTTGCATTTAATAACTGGATTGGGTCCAGCAGTGATTACCACCTGCCTTTGGAGTAGGCACTGGCTGTTCTGCTTGAGAATCTTGCTTTGCCATGCTCAGCCTGGCTCATCTTCCCACAGGAATAACCAGTGCCTTCTGGGAAAGGTATTGCTGGGGAGGTGTGGGAACTCTTGGAGCTTTGCATAATGATTCAGGGCAGTTGTTCCATTTGTCATTTTTCACTGCACTGTTTTGGTTTTCCTCATACTCATCTGGGCAGATGTTGCTTTCAAAGGAAACCAGTAGGGAATGTGCTTTTGGAACAGAGTCATTGCCTAGCAGCAGACTTAGTGCTAAAACTTAGGACTGAAAAGATGCCCCTGGGTCATTTGGCTTTTTGTTGCAGAAGTTTAAAAGTACCATATAATGTTGGCCCTAAATCTGTCCAGTTCTATTTTAAAGGCAACTCCTTTGTCCCCATTCATCTTGTTAGATGTCAGTTTAGAACAGTCTGGAAGAATAAAAAACCTCTTCAAATATTGAAGTTTAATATGCTGCATGAATTTAATTTATGGCAGAGAATTCACTAACCTTGTCCACGATCAATTGTTCTTTTTCCCTCTTCTTCACTTGGTCATGAGATGAATTGTGTACCATCGTGGGTCTCTCTTTGTAAGGACACACGATCCCAAGCTTTTGTACCTCTGAAGATAACAAGGTTTGGGCACCTGGAGATGTCTGTGGAGCTGATGTCCCTTGGCTCCTCTGTCCCTCTCTCCCACCTCACAGCTTGGCTATGGTTTTGTAGACACAGTCCTTGATGTCTGAGACAATGTAAGATGCTTCTCACTGGGTACAACCTGTAGCAACTACATGCTGATGGCATGAACATTTCTTTCATGGCTTCAGATTTTGCACCTTGTCCTCCTTCCCCCCCATCCAGGCAGCAGCTTGGGAAGCAGAACAGGCTGCAGGGGCTGAGGCAGCACCTTGTCATGCTAAAGACTCATGTAGTGTGTGGGAGAACACCAGGACTGATCCTGGGGTGATCACATGCGATCTCTAATTTAACATATATTGCATGTCATCTTCACAACTATCTTTGCAAGATCTGTGCAAGTACATAGCTTTAATGCTCACTGTAATGGTCACAGGTGCAGCTCAGCAACATCTGAGGTGCAAGACTTTGTGCCTGCATTGCAGTCACTATGAAGAGCTTGGGCTGTGCTGATGACACCTGGACACTATCAGAGTCTATGATTATATGATAAGGGTTTAATCTCTTCCCTTTTTCTACCACCTTGCAGTTCTGCTTATCCCTGTATTCATATCAGTAAGGCTTTACCTGGCAGCACATGCAGTAAGAATTTGCAATTTAGGAGTCAACCATTCCAGATAATGTGTGTTGTTGGGTAAAGATCAGTTTGCTCAGGCAATTTCAGTTAATACTTCAGTTACGCTTTGCTATTGCTACTCCTTTGGAATTTGTTTCTTGCTGTTAAAGATTCATAAATCATAAAGTTGCCTTTTTTTTAAGCAGTAGCCAAAGGTGGTCATAGAGGAAGGGTGAGTTGGATTTTTAGGGACTGCCAGTGGTACTTGTTGAGCACCAAGAGGAAAGGATGTTAATTCTTGCAAGGACCAAGAAGAAAAGTTAAATTGTTCTCTGCCTCTAGAGACAAAAGTGTTCTACTTACTCAGTGTATTCCAGAAGGAAGGGTGTTCTTTAGTGCTGTAATTCCATTATTGGTGACAAGGTAAGCAAAATAGATTTTCAATTGCTGATTTCCAGTGCACACTCAAATCTGCTGTATAAACAGTTGTGAATTTGCATTTGGTATCACAGTCAAAGAGGTGATTATACCTGATGGATAGAAACATTTTAGAGAATATTGTGTAGTATTTCACCCAGCAAAAAAAGTTTAAAACCCTATATCTAAATTAGACATGTCTTGACATTTTATTATTTCATAATTGTAACTACTAGACTTTTCACAGTAGGTAATTGCTTTTTTCCTCAAAGCTGTGTTAGTCTCCAAGGACAAGTGATGGGTGAAATAGGAGCCTGAGTGCCTGAAGTTTTAAAGAAAAGAGAATAAAGTATGAGCTACAAGTATAATTCACTT